ACATATTAAGACATAAATTTGAGATTAAATTACTCAGAAACAAAAAAACAACGCTGTTAGGTATTTTTGATATTATTTAAGTGATTTAAAAATACTAATTTAGTATTTTTGAGATTATAACTTATCAAGTGGAAAAGGTTTGTAGATGGCTTTCTTTAAAAGTTGAATACCTTTACTCAAGGCAAATACCACATTTTCATCTTAAATTGTAATAAAAGTATAGTAAATAAGATACATTTGAATATTACTATTTACTGCTAATCGTTCCAAAACTGGTACTTTTACCTCAAAATATTGTTTCTATCGGAAAAAGGGCGGCAAATTCTGAATTGCCTAGCGGTGACAAATATTCAAATCCGCCACTGTGCAAACATCCATATGTACACATGTATGTTAGTAGATGTATAACAGCGTAGCAAACAGCCTAACAATGCGGAAACGGAGTATAAACAAATAGCAAAGGGTGCAATAACTGTGTATATCCAAAGCTAAAATTCTCACAATAAATTACTAATGTTCACTGAAAAAAAAAACGATATTTAAAATGCAAAACTACATTTAAATGTTTCATATATTCTTCCGCAGAATCTTCCATCGTCGAAAAGCCTCCAAGCTGCAATTCACGGTCCCGCGAAAATTCTAAGTTTTCAAAGTACCACAACGTGGGGAATTTTTTGCAATTTCCGCCGGTAGCAGGGGCTCGTATGCACTGATATTTTTTTACAATTTCTATTGTGGCAGGTTTGTCTACTTCCCTCTACTTCTCCAGCAGTTTTTTCCATAATTTTTTTTGTTATTCCTATCTTTATATTTTTCAATTTTACTTTACCCAATTGCGACTTCTCCCCTCAAAGGTTCAAAAAAAGTCTCCTAAAAATCGCTTTCTTGCAATTTCCCGCCATGTGCTCACTTCAATGGTTCAAAATAACCTGATATGACGAAATGGGTTAAAAGTAGACTGATATGATGTCATGGGTTAATGTTCGCGAACTTTGCCACTAACGATCGAACAAATCAGAAGAGTTTGAAAATTTTCAAATCCGTCAAATTTGTTCGCGCACCATGCCACTAACGAGAAAAATGACATCGAACACTAACAAATCCGTCGGATTTGTTCGCTGTTAGTGCCTAGCATAAGGGACACTGAAGTGATGCCCATGGCGGTAATGTGCCACGGCGACAAGTTGTTTATGTCATGCAACTGACATAATGACTAAGTTCTCGAGCTCTTGGAAATTCTTCGTACAAATGCTTTCACGACTTTGTAAGTGTTGAATGATTTAAAAATAAAAACTGGTAGGGATACATATATGCCTAAAATATGTAATAACAATTTTTAAGAAAAGTATGTACGATGGCGAAAATGTAAATAGCGGAAAAGACAGTTTAACAAATGTTGGCTACTTTTCATGGTTTAAAAAATGTTTTTTAATCCAAATATAGTTACTGTCTAAAAAAAACTATTTAAATCAAAATTTCAAACTTTGTAGAACATTTATAAAAATTTGACGAATTATGAAACATTGACTTTGATTTTCCTATTTTTTGTACAAGGTTTAAAATTATTGAAAATTCGGATATATGTTTTTTTTAGATAACACACTTTCATAAAAAATAACAAATATTAAATAAACGATAGCCAAAGAATGCTAGACTGTTTCGTCCCTATTTATATTTTCGCCACTGTATGTATTAAGCGTGGAAAATATAATTAAAATTGGTCATCTTGCTATTTGTTTTCATGATGGTTAATGGTGATAAAAATGCATACACATCCGAAGTATACTCAGTGCTTTCAGTGAAGTGAAGTTCAGTGAACCAAGATAATTTATTTTATTTTACAAATGAGGAAGGAAATCAAAATTTCGCTAGCTTAGAGTGAAAAGTGCACTTTTTGCGAAAACTCATACTTTGGTATAGGTAGCAAAAAAAAAAAATCAAAAATGAGACGTATCCAAAAGAATTAAGGAACTTGTTTTATTTCTTCCCGTTATTATTCAACGAAAGGCAAACTTGTCAAATCCAAAAAAGATAACAGAAAGTTCGATAAACCCAAAATCAATATCAAATCCTTCTGATTCGTATGGAGTTTTTCTATGCTTTGAACACTCAAAATTTTGTATTCTAGGCTTTGCAAAATACTTAAATATATGGCTGTACCAAGTCATATTAAGCAGGTAGTATCAGCAGAACAGCTGTTTTGATTTTTTTTTTTTCAAATTATTTAGTCTCTCAACTGTCAAATATTTTGAATTTATTTCAACACAAATTCTTAGTTGGCAAAATGTATGTATTTGTATGTGAATCTTAAAAAAAAGTGGTTAAAAACCAGCCTTTGGAACGTTTGCTTAACTCAGGAGCGGAAACTGATTACACTGGATCACAAATTTTAATTTTCATTTTGTTCTCCAGACGCCACTAACCAATTTCTATATAAAATCGCTCGCTGATTCCGAAAATCGAGTTAATTCTTTTTTTGTATGGATACGTTTTCGAGAAATTTGCAATTTACCGTTATTCAGCTTAAAATAAAGAGTAATCGTAATAAGAGGTACGGCAAATGATAGAAAATAAAATTCTCCATAAACCGTATATAGATCACTTTTCGATAGCCCTGATAGTTTCTGAGAAATTAATTAATCATTCCAGATTTTATGTTTGTTTGATGGAAAAATGCAAAAAATTCAAACTTTAAAAGGGAAAAAGCAAAAATTAACAATGTCAGTGTAAATAATTTGCACTTGTGTTAAAGCCCGTTCGATTAGTGGTATATATACAGTTTATGGTGAATTTCATTTGCTTTCATTTCCCGTATCTTGTATTATGATTATTCAATTGTTTCGTAAGATATACGTGATTAAGTGAACCACTATTATTTAAAGCTGTTTTATCAAAAAAATTATCTCGATTTTCGGAATCACCGAGGAATTCTACATGGGAATTGGATAGTGGCATCCATAGAACATTTTTGCTGTAAACCAGTGTTATTGGGCCCTGCAAAGGATGCAATGGTGCTTCTGGAATGAAACAAATTTATTAAGAAAGTCGCACCAATTCTTAATTTTTTGTATTTAAATTTTTCAATGCATTTCACAACACTCACTATGATATTTAAAAAATGTAGACTAGTTTTTACACTTTAGATACTAGAAGCAACAACCATATATACGTAAATATTAATAATACAAAGGAACAGCCACATCAGGGCAGCCTATTGCCTGCTAGTACCATTGCTATAGTAGCTCTCATTGAAGCGCTTACTACTCTACCACCCAGATTGTTTGTGTTACATTCTTGGCTAAATACAAATTGACATCTAAAATGGATGACATGGTTGTGAAGTCATTAGCTCCTAGGCTACGGAAAAACGTATAATTCAAATTGAAGCCCTCAATCACTAACAAACTCGCGCACATAATCAACTTGATTCCCCAAACAAATTAAGAAGAAACAAATTTGGAAATTAAAAATTAAGGTTGCGTTTCTTTATACATTCCAGATAATCCCATTTCACAGCCAGAATAAACAGAATGCGTTTGAAATATAAGTTAACATATCATCAGGAACGTTCTAAAGAATACGTAAACAAAAAAGTTTATTCCAAACGTTCAGAATGAGTAAAGAAATGCAGCCTAAATGTTTATCATTGCAAAAACGAGCAAACTTACAAATACACAAATATGTATGCATAAAAAATATGTTTAAATAATTCAAATAAATCTAATACTCCTTTTAACACTTTCGAGGACTCCCTACAGTCTACGAACAATATATGTACCTGCCTATGCATTTTTTTGTTTTTGGCGGTTGCCAATTCGACAGCGGTTTCTATTAATAGTTGTTGTTTTCTTAGTTGCTAGATTTTTGCACTGACGTATGGGCTTATAACTATTGCCTCTGTATGAGAGCATTTTGTTTTTGTTTTACGAAGTACATAAGTACGTTTACTTATGAAGCGAAGAAAATCGGTCACAAGACGGTTTTTTTATATAGATATATATGTATGTACAAATGTGCGTATGTGGTTAAGTAGCTTGAAAACCCTGAAAAAGCAGCGCTCAAAGCGTAAAAAAATACAAAACCTGCTGTACAAAAACCGAGTCAAAACACACAATCTCGTCATTAGCAAAGGCGTCACACGCCCTTTTGAACTTTTTCCCACTAATACGCTTACAGATATGGGTATGTATGTATGTAAATTAGACGGGGTCGCAAAAAAAGTTTGTCATACAAATTTTCGTACATACTGAGTCACAAAAAAACCGCCAAATATAAGATGTCTCCATACCTGTCTTTCATTATTAAGTCGATTTCAAAGTGCGGTATATATTTCTGCCTTAAAAAATTTGTCATAAATTCATTTTCCGTTCGAAGACGGCGTAAAATTGTAGTTACCTCCATTTGTGGTTGGTATAGCATTAGTGCGCGCACCAAAATATTGTTATTATTACTTTATTTATATCCAATGATCGGATCTAAACCAGATTAGTATGGGACCACCTCTGAGACACTACCTTCCGATGCAAAAAGAAATATCGAAATCGGTTGACGTGGTCCAAAAAAAAAACATTCCGACGAACTGTTAACCTATTCCTTTTTTTTGGAAAAGTTTTATTGCAAATGCGAGCACCCCGGTCTAACGCAGCTACATACAAACATTTCCACATCCCTGTAGAAAAAAAATGTCAATTGATAAAAATAATCTACTTGTGGGATTTCAATAACTTTAGTTCCTTCCTAATCAGCTTCAAGCCAACTTATATGTAGTTAGATATATTTCCTGCAGGAATATATAGGAGCTCACAAACAAAAAATATGCGCTTGCATGCATGCAAAATGAGCGATTCAGGACACTTCATATACACAAACGGGCATAACCAAAGACATATTTAGGTAAACATACATATATGCATTTCCGTTTTTGTATCTATCCTATTATCCTGCGCCTTTAATTACTTGTGATTACAGTTTTTTTTTGTGCGAAATATTTAAATACTTACATAGAAACAGGAGACAATGCCGCAATGTAGTTTAGTTGTTGTTGATACTTTAGTTCAGCAGGTTGCAGTTGATTTTAATTTTTTATGTTTGCCGCTGCTCATAACAAATTTATTCTATATACTGGTTTTCTTATTAGTCTTCTAACAGTGGCTCGCGTATTGTCACATCGCACTCTCAATTCAAAAGTAATAAGACGCTTCTTAGTTTGCTTATTTTTCATTGATTACTCACGCTTTTTACTACATTCTTTGAATGTATATGTATTTATTTTCTATTCATTGAATTCTTTACCACATATATGCATATATTGTATATATTTTTTTCACTTCATTTGCACACATTCAGAACAGATTTCTGCAGCTTTCAACTGTTATCCTTGCAGCTATGAAATGCAAATAAACGCAATAGTATTAAGAATTATTTATGTGTTAAAGATATTGACACAACCACTTTGAATCCGCTTCACTGAATTTAACTTCAATTGCATTGCAATATTTTATGCTCTTCCTTTGAAGTTTTCTTTGTAGTAATCACAAGCAGCATTCACTCCAATCACGTTGGCCTCAAGCATGAGCATTTATTAAAGCGAAAAGAAAACAAGTAAGAAAGTCTAAGTTCGGGCGGAGCCGAACATTAAATACCCGGCGCAAGTATTAAATATATGTTTTTTACCTTTCCGAAAGCTACCGCTACATGGTAAACCGGGGTGTACCAATTTTGAGTAAATTAGCGTCCTTAAATTTCGAAATATTGAAGTTTCAAGCATTTCTGAAATTTACTGTTATATGAAAAGCGGCCGTAATTTTAGTTCGATTTCAATAATTTTCAACGCTTTGCTTCTATGTGGCAAGCACAATAACCACACCGAGTTTGGTACAAATCGGTAGAACGGTTACCGAGATACATATATGTGATCATAAGTGGGCGGTGTCAGGCCCATTTTTCAAAATTTTATCCTAAACGTATTTCTTGGTAAAGAGTTGTTGCAAACATCAATTTTGAATAAATTAGCTTCAATAATTACTGATTTATCGAAGATTTCGTATTTCTCTAAATTATTGTTATATGGGATGTGGGCGAGGTTATTGTCCGATTTTAAAAATTTTCGGTCATGTCGTGTGTTATACGAAGGTTAACAACTGTGCCAAGTTTGGAAGAAATTGGTGCAGCGGTTACCAAGATATACACATGTAACCAGATGTGGGCGTGGCTACGCCCATTTTCCAAAAAATTATAATATTATTATTTTTCGTCTAAAACTTATTGTAAATATCAATTTTGAGTGAATAATCTTCAGTAGTTTCTAAAATATCGCAGTTTTCGTATTTCTGAAAATTACCGTTATATGGGAGGTGGGCGTGGTTATTGTCCGATTTTGCCCATTTTCAATACCATCCGTCCTACGCCAGAAAGAAGTGCACGTACCAAGTTTCGTTAAGATATCTCAATTTTTACTCGAGTTATCGTGTGCACAGACGGACGGACGGACGGACGGACAGACAGTCACCGCTTAATCGATTTCTCTTTTCATTCTGATCATTTATGTATACATTTGTCTATATCTATCTCGATTCGTTTTGCCTGTTACAAACAACCGTTATGTGAACAAAGTTATAATACCCTTGTGCACAAGTGCGCTCGGGTATAAAAAAAAAACAAGTAAGAAAGTCTAAGTTCGGGCGGAGCCGAACATTAAATACCCGGCGCAATTATTAAATATATGTTTTCCACCTTTCCGAAAGCTACCGCTACACGATAAGCCGGGGTGTATAAATTTTAAGTAAATTAGCGTCCTTAAATTTCGAAATATTGCAGTTTCAAGCATTTCTGAAATATACCGTTATATGAAAAGCGGTCGTAATTTTAGTCCGATTTCAATAATTTTCAACGCTTTGCTTTTATGTGGCAAGCACAATAACCATACCGAGTTTGGTTCAAATTGCTAGAACGGTTAGCGAGATACATATATGTGATCATAAGTGGGCGGTGCCACGCCCATTTTCCAAAATTGTATCATAAGCGTATTTCTTGGTAAAAAATTGTTGCAACCATCAATTTTGAATAAATTAGCTTTAATATTTACTGATTTATCGAGGATTTCGTATTTTTCTAAATTACCGTTATATGGGATGTGGGCGTGGTTATTGTCCGATTTTAAAAATTTTCGGCCATTTGGTATGTTGTAGCAGGACCAACAACTGTGCCAAATTTGGAAGAAATTGGTGCAGCGGTTACCAAGATATACACATGTAACCGTAAGTAGGCGTGGCTACGCCCATTTGCCAAAATTTTTTAATATTCTTATTTTTCGTCTAAAACTTATTGTAAATATCAATTTTGAGTGAATTATCTTCAGTAGTTCCTAAAATATCGCACTTTTCGTATTTCTGAAAATTACCGTTATATGGGAGGTAGGCGTGGTTATTGTCCGATTTCGCCCATTTTCAATACCATCCGTCCTATGCCCAAAAGAAGTCCACGTACCAAGTTTCGTTACGATATCTCAATTTTTACTCGAGTTATCGTGTGCACAGACGGACAGACGGACGGACGGACGGACGGACGGACGGACAGACAGTCACCGTTTAATCGATTTCTCTTTTCATTCTGATCATTTATGTATACATTTGTCTATATCTATCTCGATTCGTTTTGCCTGTTACAAACAACCGTTATGTGAACAAAGTTATAATACCCTTGTGCACAAGTGCGCTCGGGTATAAAAAACTTTTAAGGCTAACGCAATGCAGCAGAGCAAAACACTACATCCTTTAGTTTTGTTTCACTTAAACCACCTTATTTTTTGCCTCTTCTTTTCACAAACTTGTAAGGAGTTTTATTTTAGATGACAAATTGCCATCATTGTCGATTACTCCTCCGCCAAATCCCACATCACGCTGGTTGCGCGATTTTCGTACTAAAAGCTCGATATAACTCAACAAATAGCGCAAGGTAACGATCAACAAACAGCAATTTAAGATCAACAACAAAATATCAAAAGATTAATTTGCATACAGAATAACGCACCCGTATGTGCTTTTGCATGTATGCATAAATACATATTCATGTGCACATATACATACATACTATGTACAAATAGTTACACAAAACGCATTTTAGAAAAATACTTGCTCCTCATGGCACCACTCCTTAATGGCACTACTAAGAACTATATTTTTTGCAGCGTTTTGCCTTTCTCATGAATTCAGGCAATTATTTGCTTAAATAAATTCAATTAGCCCCATCTTCCTATTTGTGTACCCAGCATGCAAGTCGAAAGGTATTGAAGCCTTATCGTGAGTTTCGCCCGAAATTTTTTCATCCGCCGGTAGTGAATACACGGAAACGAAAAGTGAAAAGTATACCGGTTCGGGGAAAATTAAACTCAAAAAAGTCTATAGCAGGGATCACACGATTTGTGCATTTATACAGATTTGTACATTTTGGCAGTCTGAGAGCGGTATTCTTAGAAATTTGAGTTGAGCTCAATAAAAGATTTTCCAAACAACATTACTCTATTACTGCCAAAATGTACAAATCTTTACAAATGCACCAATCGTGTGACACTGCGTCATGGTTTTTTTTTGCTTTTGTTTATGGCTGTCAATGGTAGATATTAATAATTGTACAGGGTAACAATGATTTTGGCGGGGCAAATTTTGAAGCTGTTTTTGATGGATTTGTTTGTTCTGTTCAGCTCCGGATTTTGAGAAAAACAAGGTAAAAATTTCAAAAAATCACGTTTTTTCAGTATCTGAGAACCCCTAACAAAGAAAGAAAAGTTGATAGAACATTCCAATTAAGCTTAAATCAAAGGTAGAACTCTCGACTATTGTCCCTGAAATTACCATCTTTGCACCTCCTTGACCTGATGGTCACTTTTAGTCACTTATTGAACAATAAAAAAAAATACTGGAAAATTGTGGTATTGAATAAAAATTTTGCCAAAATCTGTTTTTTCTGTACAATAAATGACTATAAGTGACCTTAGGGTCAAGCTCCTCTAACACTAAATACCTTATTTTTTTAAACTTGGAAGGTTTTTTATTTGAAACTGAATTTAGTTTGGTCATATATGTAGTCCAAAAAGTTTAAAATTAAAACCGAAATTTTTAACCGTGTGACTATTCATTTTACAAATAGGAAGAGCTCAAAAAAGCACAGCAATCTGATTTTTGTTTGCTTTTTGCGTTTGCTTTGAGAATACTTGGAAGTACGAGTATTATCGATACTTTTTTGCAAATATGAGTACTGGCATCGATTATTTTTTAGAGTATTCTATATGACTACTAGTATCGATACTTTTCTAAAAAGTTCTATCACTAGGCACACGTCACTGTTGGCAGTTACAATTTTGAAGTGCTGAAGCTCTCTATCTATTTACCGTCCGGCATAAGCAGTACTAAATAATAATGGCATTCTAGAGATCAAGCGAAGAACAACTTACCACCATATGCTACTTTGGGCTCGGTAGGCAGTTGAAAAGGAAAGCCCTCTCTCGAAGAACAAAAATTACGCTATACAACTCTCTCATAATGGGCCTTATCAATTTCTTTTTCTTAAAATTTCACAGCTGTTACTCGATTTATTCAAATAAATTTAAGTAAAAGGTCTGAAATTTAGGAATAATCAATTGCTTAGAGTTATTCATATGGCCCAATGCCCGCACTTTTATGAGCCTAAGAAATATGGAGTGTGTCGAATCAAGATGACAAAGCTTTAGGAACATTTTGGGGAACTAGTATACGCAAGATCTACGAATAAGACCCTGTTCACATAGTACCGAGGGAGATGGGATGACGAGTTGTACGAGCTTTGTAACAACATGGACATATTTAAGCGTATAAAAGATCGGCGCTGCTTGGGCATGTCGTACGTATGAATGATGATGCTCCGGTGGAAGTACCCTGCAGTGAAAAGCCAAACCAGTTAGAAAAAATACTAGTTCATTAACTAGTATGTGCCTACCTACCAGTTCGACAATTTCGAAGAACTTAGGCGATCAGCGACATCTGCCTTTGAATTGCCAAAGCCAAAAATAAAACGCAATTAATTGCTTTTCTTACAAATGTCGGCTGTGGCGTCACGTGAAGACTACTGGTTCTGGTTCTGAAATCGCAGGTTCGAGGCCGCTTGGAGGTGGTTAAGATTTTTAAAGTTAAATAAATGTAAGTAAAAATAATTTATTCAATTTATAAATAAATAACAAACTTGAAAATCTAATTGCGTTGCGAAAAAACATTTAGGAAGAAATATAAAAACAAAGAAATTAAACCAAAATATTTTTTTTATTAAATTAAAAAATTACAATGAACAGCATAAACAAAAAAATAAATTTATAAAAAATAAAAATAAAATAAAAAATAGAAAATAAAAAAATGTTACCTGCGCCAGGATTTGAACCTGGGACCTCAGGCTTACCACGCGAGTGCTCTTCTCTGTCGGCCATTGTGACTGCTGGAGCGTCGCGAGCAAAAAGGCACACTTAGGGCCGGTTGCTCAAAGCCTGGTTGACACTAATCCCTGGTTAAACATCGTTATCGACGTTACCGACACCACGTTATATGCATGGAGTCGAAAACGTCGATAACGATGTTAACCGATGATTAGTGTTAATCAGGCTTTGAGCAACCGGCCCTTATGTTTTTCACGGGGCATGAATTGGCAGACTATCTCATCAACTGGTATGATGCTACTAGTATTTATACTAGTAGATGCTGATGCATAGCCTGACAATTGACATCTCGTAGGACATCGCAATGTTAAAAATACCAGTCGCTAACATTGAAAAAGGATAAAACGTGAACTAGTTCGGCTGAAACGCAAACCGGTAGAATTCTAGTTTACAACTAGTAGCTTTCCCTGCAGGGTATCCGTCAGCTCGGTAACTATGAGTGGACAACGAAAGCGAAAGCAAGAACGCTAATGAACACAATGCAGGGATTAAGTGCTGTAGGACTAGAATGCACACGTGGCGAACAACTGGCGCAACTTCGCCTAGAAGAGAGGCGAAGCTATTTGGTCTCAGCCCAAACCGGCAAATGGTTGCAGTACCAAATAAGAAGAAGTATTGCGTTATACACAACGGTTTTTAATACTCTAAAAATTCATAATATGACTTCTATGGTACCTTGCAGACCCCCTTGATGTAGGTATTTTTTAGCCTTTTAAAGTTGACGACATACATCAATACGACACCGTTGTGAATACCCCAAATATGTATGTGATTATAAGCCGAATTTTAATGTAGTCAAATAGAATTTAACGATCCTTTTAATGTACAACTGTTACAGTTTTTTTGATGGAGTGGAAGTGGGGCAACTTTGACTTTACACACCTCCCTCGTCATTTTAAAAGCGCACTCTTTCAAAGCCTTAGTATTTACAGGTTTCCTTTCATTTAATTTTTATTAATTTATTTAATTTTCAAACATTTTTATAAAAATGTAGTATAACAGAAATGTGTAATATTACGTTCAAATTGGCCCCATTTAACTTGTTAAATGAAAAAGAGACTTAGAGACTTCAAAATGTTTAGTTCGTATGCACTATTTATCTCTGCGTACGATGAGACCTGATGGAAAGTATCTAATTACCGCCTTGGCCTCTTTTTTGGCGGGCAGACATGCATACAATTTTGATATTTTTGAAGTGAAACTTCTTTAGCGGCGGTTGGTTGGTTGGGAGCAGTTCTTAGCGATTAAAAATTAACGATTAAAATGTTAATCGCGATTGACGATTAAGATTAATTAATCGTAATCGACTGTATGATTAATGATTAAATTTTTTTAATCGTTAATCGCTAGCGGCGATTACGATTAATTACCCTACAAGAATTGTGTGATGGCAACTAACACATTCTCATTTACCTTACTAACACATTTACAAATTTTGCGTTGGTTAAAAAGAGACAACTAATTAGTTAAATAATGGCATAAGTCGGAGGAAGGCGGAAGATAACATGTGCACAAATGTTTACATCAGATTTTTCACACTGTCCTTTAGAAATTGATAGAAACTTGTAGGTAGCCAGTGACAGAAATCTCTATCAGTCTTGCCACTCAAATGATTTGTCAAATGATAGTCACTGTGTTTGCAGGGTAATTTTAATCATAATCGTTAATCCAATTAAAACAAAATCTGATTAAGTTGCCTAGTTTGTCCGAATTTGGAACCAAACTTCTAGTAATTATTTTGTGTTTTACGCAATTTATCAGTGCCAACACAGGTTGGGAGTATCCCGAGACACGCCCTTTTATTTTTCTTTTAATATATTAGGCAACATCACGTAGGTGCAATGATCTTTCAGTAAAAGACCGTATTAATTTTTTAACCGACTTCCAAAAAAAGGAGGAGGTTATCAGCTCGTCGGAATATTTTTTTTTTATGTATGTTACCGCATAACTTTGGATCACGTCAACCGATAATTCTTTTTGCAACGGAAAGGTATACCTTACCTATAGTGTCTCAGAGGTGGTCCCATACTAATTTGGTTTAGATCCGATCATTGAATCATGAAATATATAGATATATATATATATTTTTAAGTCGGTTTTTATTGCAAAAATTACTTGTTATAGATCCTTTTTCTTATAATACAATTTTTTTTTGTATATATGTAGACTCCTCTGGCTCTCATGGTCTCACATGTACAGTATCGGTCATATCTATAGCACGCCATTTCAAAGTGATATTGTGTGCAACTTATGTTTATTTATTTATTTTTAAGAATTTTCAATTAAAATACAGTTCTTTCTCTAACAAACCCCATATAAACCCAAGTTTAACAATTTATAGAAAACTTCAAAAAAAGTGCAACAAATTTTCACCTAAGTTTCAAACTCTTTTCTCGGAAGTGTTAGATTTTTTTCGAGTACACAGTTTTTTAGCCCCTGCAATTTTAGTCTG